AGGAGGTGCTGAGCTGGCTGGACGAGCACAGCCAGGGCGACCGCCCCCAAACTGGCAAAAAAAAAAGTTTTTTAAAAAGGTTTTTAAAAAAACTTCCGCTTTCAAACCGGGAAGAGGGATGGGTTTTGTTTTTGCAAGCATCACAAGCCCCGGGGGAGGCTGAGACTCCCCCGGAAAATTTCGGAGGTAGCCCCCGCCCCTGCGCCCCCCTGAACTCTACGCCTATGTCTGAGATTCCAGATTACTGCATGATGGCATGAGTAATACATTATGTTGTTGTTGTTTTACACAGTATCAGGGTGCGTCGCATAGAGCAGTTTTATTGAATGTATGAATTATTTATTTATAATTAAGCAGTTTCATCTGAGGTGAAATCTTTTGCTGTCATTCCATATTGAAATTAACTTGCAAAACCCACAACACAGTGAATGGCTTGCAGATTAATCACCCTGGTGATATTCAAATTTATGGGTTAGATCCAACCAGTTTTTCTGTATGCAGAGTACATCATGCGAAATGCTGGCCTGGATGAATCACAAGCGGGAATTAAGATTGCTGGGGAAAAGATCAACAACCTCAGATATGCAGACGATACCACTCTAATGGCAGAAAGTGAAGAGGACCTAAAGAGCCTCTTGCTCAGGGTAAAAGAGGAGAGCGCAAAAGTGGGCTTGAAGCTCAACATCAAAAAAACTAAGATCATGGCATCCGGCCCCATCACTCCTTGGCAAATAGAAGGGGAAGTCGTGGAAGTGGTGACAGACTTCACGTTCCTGGGATCCCAGATCACCGCAGACTGTGACAGCAGTCATGAAATTAAAAGACGCCTGCTCCTTGGGAGGAAAGCGATGGCGAACCTAAACAGCATGATAAAAAGTAGAGACATCACCCTGCCAACAAAAGTCCGCATGGTCAAAGCAATGGTATTCCCAGTAGTCATGTATGGCTGCGAGCGTTGGACTATAAGGAAGGCTGAGCGCCGAAGAATAGATTCTTTTGAACTATGGTGCTGGAGGAGACTCTTGAGAGTCCCTTGGACTGCAAGAAGATCAAATCAGTCAATCCTCAAAGAAATCAACCCTGACTGTTCCCTGGAAGGCCAGATAATGAAACTGAAGCTCAAATACTTTGGCCACCAAATGAGAAGGGAGCACTCACTGGAGAAGACCCTGATGCTGGGAAAGATTGAAGGTCAAAGAAGACGGGGACGGCAAAGGATGAGATGGTTAGACAGTGTCATAGATGCAACGAACATGAAATTGAGCAAGCTTCAGAGGACGGCGGAGGACAGGAGGGCCTGGCGTGATTTGGTCCATGGGGTCGCGAAGAGTCAGACTCGACTGTGCGACTGAACCAAAAAAAAAAAAAAAAGGAAAAGGCTTCCCTTTGACCACCTCAGAAGGCTGTGCTGGGGATCATATGACCTGCATGGACAAAAGCCATGAGAGATGGGGACTGTAGTAATGATGGGAACTGGATTAGAGTGACTAGAAAAGCTGGCTGAATCCAATCAAACATTCAGAACCTCATTTTTCCTAGTGCCATTCATTTATTGACATACTTGTTATATGATGGTTATCATTACACACATTTATGAGTCATGCAGTTAAGTGTTTATATTGCATATTTATCAGATGAAGAAGTTGGTGACTTTACACCTCTGTAATTAAATGTTTTAAGTTGTGGGTGGAAGAATTTGTCTGGACGATCCTTGTTGCCAAATAACCTATGTCATCAATTCTGATGAATTATTGCTTTGGAATTGTAAATAACTGTAACCCTCTTACATGTGCTTTAGCTAGCAGAATTGTGGCACTCAGGTGTCATACACCCCAATATTTCATAGATAACAACAGGGACACACATGTGCACTTGTTACATCCTGGTTCTCACACCATAGCTTACTCCTTAAACTCATTCAGTGCTCCTCTTCGTCGGTTACACACAATGTATTATTTTGCTGTTCAGCAGTGTGACCATCAGAAGTTTCTGAAGCAGAGGGCTTTAATAAGCTAACTTAAAATAATCTTTTGAAAAAAATCTTAAAAGTTTAAACTCGCTTTAAGGTTCTAATTACAATACAGCTCTGGGGTCCCCAACTTTTTCAGCCCACAAGCACCTTTAGAATTCTGACACAGCATAGTGGGCGCAGCAACAAAATGGGTGCCACAAAATCACTGCTACAGGAAGTGGAAACAGCCACAAGATGACAGTAACTCACCTTCCATCACACAGTTAAGATTCTTGTGTTGTGGTGGCAGCTGCTGCCAAACCACTGTTTTTGTGAAGCACTGCTGGGCAAAAGCCCCACATGACCATGGCCACTTTCTAAAAAGAAGAAGAAGAGATTGGATTTATACCCCGCCCTTCACTACCCAAAGGTGTCTCAGAGCGGCTTACAAACTCCTTTCCCTTCTCCTCCCCACAACAGACACCCTGTGAGGTAGGTAGGGCTGAGAGAGCTCTTTCGGGGACTGTTCTTTTTCAAGAACAGCTCTTATCAGAACTACGGCTTGCCCAAGGTCATCCAGCCAGGTGCAAGTGGAGGAGTGGGGAAATCAAACCCGGTTCTCCCAGATTAGAGTCCGTGCACTTAACCACTACACCAAACTGGCAGTTATCATAAAAGGTGTTGGTAGGCACCATGGCACCCATATGCATCTTGTTGGGCACCCCTGATATACCTCAACCACATTCGGCGATGTTTTATGTCTGAATAAGCAGTGTGCTTGTGTGTCTGTCTGTAATGTAAACCGCAGACGTGTACGTTTGCTGCCAGCAGAGACCTGTCTTCTAAAAGCCATGGAACTGACACTAGAGCCCACATCACATTTTGGAAAGGCAGGCTGGGAAAGAGAGACAAAATACAGACTATGTTTAACAGGTACAGGAACATACAAAAGAAGCTCCACAGAACACAGTGGGATTATTATTTATTTATTGAATTTGTACCCCGCCCTCCCCCGTAGGGCTCAGGGAGGCTTACATGGCAAGAAACTTGATTAATTTCTCGGTAAACACGTTTATGATTGAGCAGTAGTTTATAGCATAGTACTGAGTCACCAGAAGGATCTTTGGCACCTGCCTTTCACAACATGCAACATTTTTTGTGGGCTAGACGTTTAAATTTAAATTTGATCCTCACTTATGTGGGAGTAGGGCTCATTAAACACAGCATTAGTTCTAAAGAAAACATACATTGTAGGGCTAGGCTACTAGGCTGGAATTGCAAGCACGCCTACAATTAATAGGAACCACTGAACTCACTTCTGAAAAAATGCTTTGTCTGACCAGGCCCGTAGCCACATGGGGCATTTGGGGATAATGCCCCCCATGGATTACCGCTGCCCTCGTGGGAAAATGTCATTTTTTAAAAAATGTAAGATGCACGTGGGGTTTCCAAAATGACCCTGGGCATAGTCAGGGAGGCTTCAGTCTCATTTTCTTTTTTCTGGGCTGAAAAATAAATAGGTTTTGAAAAATGTACAATGATATAAAATTGCAAAAGGATAAAAATAAAATTGCAAAATGCAAAAGAGAGTTGGAGATCCCCCCCCTCCCCAACTCATGTAGATGAGGAAGCCAGTAGATGAGGAAGAGGACTCGGCTCCCTCTTTTAAACACAGAAGAGGACTCGGCTCCCCCTTTTCAATGCTGCTCAAGCCGTGAGCGGCAAGCCTGCCTGCAGCAGCAGAAGAGGACTCAGCTTGGCGGCTGTGGCCTCCCTGCACCTGCCTGGGTCATATGACAGTGGGACACATGGCTGGGCTGGCACTGCCACCAAACTGAGTCCTCTTCCTCTGCTGTGGGCCGGCTTGCTGCTCACCACTCTCTCTCTTTCTCCCGGCTCCCTGCCCCACAGGATTTCCCAACACCCCACCACCCAAAATTTTCTGGCTACATGGTCTGACAATTCCATGAACGTGCTGCAGTGGATGCGGGTGTGTGTGTGTGTGTGTGTCCTAGGCCATTGAAGTTTATGAATCTTTTTAGTCTTTAAGGGTGCCACAAAACTTTGCTACAGCCGAGGAACATGACTCTTATGCAACTACTTTGGGAGTAAGGATGCCATCCTAAGCAGATCTACTCAGATACAGAACCCTGTGTGTGTGTGTAAAGTTGCAGCCAACTTATGGCAACTGCATAGGGTTTTCAAGCCAAGAGACAAACAGATGGGTTGCCATTGCCTGGCTCTTCTGTGTAGCCATTGCAAACTTCCCTGGTGGCCTCCCGAGATCTGTGGACTATTCATGTCAGAACCCGACTGCAGTCTATTCCGTGCAAGTTAACCCCAGGAAAGTGTTTTTAGGACTACACGGTTAATTTAGTTTAATGCGGTAAGATTTACCTCTCTGAATACACATGACCAGGATATTATTTATTGGTTAAAACATTATATACCTCGCCCCGACCGCCGGGGAGGGGCAAACGGCGCTTACATTCAAATATATCACATAGCAACAAACCGTAACGCCAAGCAATCTCAGTATCAGAAACTGCTCGTCCAAACAAAGCGCACATCAGATTCGAGGGGCCACAGCAGCCTCTTCAATGACACCGTCCTGCCCTCCCGCCCTCCCGGCCAAAGGCCAGGCCAATCGGCAGAGCCGGCAGCCCTACGGCGGGCAAAATCATGGCGAGGAGCATGGCCGGCCGGCGCGACGACCCAGATCGAAGGTGGTCAAACGTCATCTCCCCCTTATCCCCCCCCCCTCGCCTGTTGCAGCGACGACCGCGAAAGCGAGCCCGGCAGTCCCCGTCACGTGACGTTAAGGTCTGTCACGTAAGGGCGGGAAAGCGTTCCATTCTATTCCGCTCCCCACGAGTGAGTTGATTCCCCCCTCCCTTCAAGGACAGACACACACACACACCACTGTAGTTCCTCCCGCAGCTCGCCCAGTTCCTCGTCAGGTGACCGCGCGTCACATGATCAGACGGGGGCGGTTGACGGTGCCGCCGCTGTCGCGCCTTAAACTGAGTGCAAGAATTGTCATGACCGTCAAAGACGCTCCTGTTGCCGCCGCCTCTGTGTTCTTCTGGTCCTGAGGAAGCGGCGCGGGCAGGCTGCTGCTCCCTTCACCACGCCGCCTTTCGGAATGCTTTTGCTGTGGCCGTGCTTGGTGCTCTCGCTGTCACCATGGAGCGCCGCGGCTCGGAGGCCGAGCGGCCGTTACTGGCTGACTGACGCCAAAGGGCTGGCCCGGGAGTTCGACGGCATCGGAGCGGTCAGCGGCGGAGGGGTGGGTGAGCGATCCGTGGGAGTCGGTGGCGGCCAGGCTTGCGAGGGAGCAGTCGGGTGAGGCTGTCTGACAGAGCCTCGGGGTGTTGCTTTCTCATTCGGATACGGCTATCTTTTACCTTGTATAGGTATAGCTATACACACACACACACACACACACACACACACACACACACACACACATAAAGCAGATTGTATATGAGCAATGTTTTTAGTGCCATAGACCTGTATATATATGACACATTTGTATGCATATGCGCACAAGCAGACACCTATACATGCATATCCTTATACCAACAGTGTACCTTAATACATAAACCCACTTCTATCTAGGTATATTTACTATCTGTATGCGTGTGTGTGTTTTTGTTTATACCCTGCTTTTCTTTCTGATGGAAAACCAGCCAAGGAAGTTTGTGCTATCATTCTTCCCTCCTTTGTTTTATCCTCACAACACCCTTTGAGGTAGGTTAGGCTGATGAACTTCCATGGCAGAGTGGATGTGATGGATGTGTGTGTGTGTTTTTCTAGAATGCTTCATTTGCTTTGCATTTCCATATGCCAGAGTCTTTTCTTGACAGAGAATTCAAGCAGTGTACATAGGATTAAGGGGTTGTGTTGTGGTTAATGCACTGGAACCAGTTCCAAATATTCTGTGAAGTTTGCTGGATGACTTTGGGTCAATCAGTCTTGCTTAGCCTAACTTGCCTCACAAGTGAGGAGTGGTGGAACTATGTATTATGTCCTCTTTAGAGGAAGGATGGGATAAAATGATTTCCTGGATTGCCTATCCTGACCAGACCCCAGGGTTGCTGCAGCAAGCCCTGTTTCCTTGTGGAGGAGTTGTTCTGTCTCCTGGCCCCCCTTGTATTAGAATTTCACTTGCTTTAGTTATTGTCATGTAAAAGTTTGCCAGGCAACCCTGTTTTCAAAGCCTATTATGTTGGGTTTGTGCCTTCCAGTTTTGTGTGGTGAACAGGTATGTGTGCAGGTGTCTGAACTGCAGTAGTGGTCAAGCAGGGATATGTATGTAGGGGTATGGTGCAAAGAGTGAGGCTGGAAAGCACTGTAAGAGGGATGCTGTGGAGGTCAAGTAGTGCCAAAAAGAATAGGTCTCTTGAGAGCTGGGATATATATTCTTTAAATAAACATTTGGGTAGCTGTGTGAGAAATAAATTTACAGGGGAAGTGAAAGAAACCATTAATTGTTATTGGTTGACTGGGGAGATTTTGGGAATCTAATAGGCATATTTTGTATATCCATTTCTGACCTTAGTCGTGGAGTGTGGATAAAATAATCTACACTATGGGGCCACATGTGGTTAAGGTATAGGTTTCTCTGAAGCTGAGAAATCCTCCTAGGGTTGAAGAAAAATCTGAAACTTAATTTTTTTTAAAATGCCCAATAACTGAAGAAAACAAATCTCGGCTTAGTTTCATGATGTGTTGGCCTCCATTTTGACAGTTGCTAGATAATCCTTTGTAACATCACCAGCCAGCTGATTCTGGGGGGAGGGGGAGTTGAAAGCACAGACAAACATTCAGTCCCTTTCCCCACCCCATTTTTTGGCAGTGGCCAGGGGAGTCTTTGACCTAAAAATGCAAAGAATGCAGTTTCACCTTCAAGCCTCCCTTCCATACCATCTCTGGTCACCAAATCTGGTGAGGCTTGAAGATGATTCTTGTATGTCTTCAGTGCCAAAGTGCTGCCCCTCATCTTCATGGTGGGAAGGCCTGGCTGCCCCAATCACCTCCTATCCTACAGGGAAGATTCAGGCAGCGGGGAAGGGGGAAAAAGGGTGTGTGTGAGTGAGAGATGGGATTTTACCTCCTCCAAGACTCCTTACATGTGTATACCCTTTGTAGCCATCCTAGGGGTTTAGAGACCAGTGTTTCCTGGGGCAAGGATTGCTTTAACCTAGGGGTCCCCAATTTTTTTGAGCCTGTGGGCACTTTTGGAATCTTGACATAGTGTTGTGGGTGCAGCTGCAAAATGGCTACTATAGAATGGCTGCTGCAGGAAGCAGAAACAGCCAGAAAATGGCTGGCACAGTGAAGATCTTTGTGCTGTGGTGGCAGCTGCTGCCAAAGCAGCATTTTTAAAAAGCTGCATAGCCAGTCAGATCTCCAGTGACCAATCAGAACCCTTGCTGGCAAAAGCCCCCCCCCCACGCCCCTTTCTAAAACACTTGGTGGGAACCAGGAAAGGTGTTGGTGGGTGTCATGGTGCCCACGGGCACCATATTGGGGACCCATGCTTTAACCTTTGAGGATGTCTGCAAAGGTAGAAGCAGTCCCACTGTTGTAGCCATCCTTGGGAAAGCTGAAACAATTTGCAATGTCTTCTTGTAGGTCCCTCTTGTCATTATTCCATCAGCCTGTTCCTATAAGCGTTAAAAACAGCAAGTTATTCAGCATATTATAGTAACATGGTAATTCTAAAACTTTTTTTTTACCCCCAGGCTACCTCTCGGCTTCTGGTGAATTACGAGGAACCTTATCGTTCACAGATTTTAGATTATCTTTTTAAGGTAATAATGAGTTCATGCAAATTCTAACCTAAAGAAATTTCCTATAATTGTCTAGTACATAAAAATTCTTAGTATGCTAGTTGCTGTTTTTTCTCTCCAAGGTTTATAAAAGATATGAGTTACAGCTGCTAATCAATACCTGCTAAGAATTATCATCACATGTGGTTAATGCTTGATTTTATTACTGAAGTCAGATGTATAGTTTGAGGAGGAGGAGGAGGAGATTGGATTTATACCCCGCCCTTTACTACCCAAAGGTGTCTCAGAGCGGATTACAAACTCCTTTCCCTTCCCCTCCCCACAACAGACACCCTGTGAGGTAGGTGGGGCTGAGAGAGCTCTTGACAGAAACTGCTCTTTTTCAAGAACAGCTCTTATCAGATGAGCTAGGGCTTGCCCAAGGTCATCCAGCCAGATGCAAGTGGAGGAGTGGGGAATCAAACCTGGTTCTTCCAGATTAGAGTCCGCGCACTTAACCACTACACCGAATTGGCTCCTAGTTTGAACCAGGAGATCTGTGGGATACCTAACTTGTGGATTAGTACTGGAGAGGTTGTTTGAATGACCTTCTAAAAGTTTACAAGCTGCTTAACTATAAGCAGATAATATATGTTTCAGTGTTGTTCTTTCCCCCCAAGCATTTCCGGAATTGTATCTGTTGCATACTGAGTTCGACGCGTAGAAACAACAGACGCTTGGTGATTATCAGCTCATAGTTTATTGTACACCACACAACAACAACAATACCGGCTGGAGCGGCCAACTATATACAGTCCCGGGGGCACACCCACCAGTCCCATTGGAAGGTTTGAACTTCCCGCTACAGTTCTGATAGGTGCTAGTTGAAAAGCTCAGGATCCTAGTCCCTATTGTCTAAAGGGACCAAGCTCGTGTTGCATACCGCTGGTGCCTAGTGGCGATCAGTGGACATAACAGTATCTCAATCAGAGCTGTGAAGCTTTGCTCTGTGGATTTGTGATTGGGTTTTCATTGCTGCTTAAGAATGTTGACTGTACTTCCGGTTTATGGCGACACGCTGAGCAGACTCACCTCCCGGACCTCCCGGGGATTAAATCTGCGCACCAGCAGAAAGGGGGGGGGCGATGCCTCGCTACCCCCCCCGGAGCCTGGTTGAAAGACTCCTAGCCATGGGACTTTTGAGAGGTGGCCTCTTCGCCAGCGCGATGCTGGGGAATCGAGGCACTTCTCTGTCCCGACGGTCCTCCCGCTGTGTGTCCGTATGGAACTAATGACGCTGACCAGGACAAGCGCTGGAGATCGAGCGGTTTAAATGAAGTTACAGCGAGGTCGCAAGACCAAATATGAACTGTGAGTCGGATTAGAGCGTATTTGTCAATTTTAAAAGAAAGCTCCCCACCCCATGGACTAGAAAGTAAAACGAGCGGGGGAGGGGAGGGGCCCCTCCCATGCGCATGAACTAAAAAGCGAGATCCGAGGGGGGGAGTGGAAGTAAAAATGCCGAAATCTGTTGGGAGAGACTTACCAGGGTGCGTATGAGCGTATATTCAGAGACTTTAGGAAATTTTCGGAAAGTAAACAATCCATAAAGTTGGCAGGGAAGAGGACTGAGAAAGAAAAAGTTTTAAGGGCAAAAGCAGCCTGGAAGCCCTCGTCCGGAAGAAACCACCGAATTGGCTAAAACGTTGGCAGAATCCCTGCGCCCCCTGCTGGACCAGATGACTAATCTCAAGGAACAGCTGTCAACAATGAACCAACGCATCACTACTCAGCAGCTTCAATTGAATGAGACTCTTAAAATTATGGAGCAAACAGCTGAGAAAGTGAAAGAAGTTGATGCCAGTACTCAAAAGGTGAAGAAAAAAGTGCAAAAACTGGAAAAGAAGCAAGTCTCTACAGAAGAACAACTTTTGCAGCTACAAATGGAAAAGGCAAACCTGGTCCTTCGTTTCCAAGGTGTCCCAGAATCCAAAGGCGAGAATCTGAAGCAAATGATGAGCGAAGCACTAGCCCCAGTGACAGATTTGAAGGTGGAATTCCTTATGAGCGAGATGGATGTGGCCTATAGGTCCTATTCCATATACATAAAGAAGAATAATCTGCCTGGGGAAATAGTAATGAGATTCTCAAAGAGGCATGTGAGGGATTCTATCCTGAGAGCGACTGCGGGATCACCCTTGAATATTGGGGACAATACTATCAGGATCTTGAAAGATATCCCATTTGAAATAAGACAAAGAAGAAAGAAACAAAGATTTAATTCTTTTTCTTCAAACAAATGCAATTGTGTACAGGTGGTTAATTCCAGAGGGCGTAACCTTCAAACTTCAGGACAAAAAAGAAAAGATTGACTCTGTTTCCAAAGCACGAGAGTTTTTGAGAATCCAGTTGGGTGAGCCAGAGGAGATGGATAAAGAGAAGGATAGTAAATCCAGTGGCGAGTTGGACTCGGGGTCTTCCGGAGAGGACTCTCTTTCTGAAAAAGGGGCAGCTGCCCCTAAAAGTCCATACAAACTGAGGAAAAGACAAGATCAGAAAAAATGAAGGCTGAAGGACTCTGAATTGTGCCTCTGAAAGTATAGCTTTTAATAATGAGACGCTATGGGGTTTCTCTCTAACAGTTAAATTTAAGATTTAAAAGATATTTTAGCATGTCTGACTAAGTTCAAAAGATATTAGCAATTTAAGGAAAGACTTTGTACTCAAGCTGTTTTAATGATCTCCTACTCTTGGGGTTTTAGTTAGTAGTGGTTATCTTTTCTTTCTCCTTAATTGTAGTCCCCCCCCTATCTTCGTTGTAGTTTGTAGTCCATATAAAAATGCAATTTAAAAAATCCCCTCCGGGGGGCCAAAAAAAAAAAGAATGTTGACTGAAGGCTCTAATGTAGTATAGAATGCTAAACTAACATTTAATGTATAAAAAAAACAAAAACACAAAGGTAGACCATCAACAAATATACAAATTTCACAAGTTGCCAGTAGACACAGGTCTATTGAAACATGGTAACATTACATTAATAAATAAATAAAGAAGAATTGGTGGTCACAATTCAAAGATAATGGTCACAGTCTATATATATAATTCCCACCGGGGGGGGGGGGGTTGGGCGGATCCTTT